GGCGGCGTGGAAGTGCAGCCGGCATGGCAGGTCTTTCTCTCCAGGGTGGCGCGGCGGGGCGGGGGTCGACGCTCTTGACAAAATCTCAACATTGCTGTATTTTCCTTCTCTCTTTTCGCCAGTCGTGCTGGGCGCGTCTGCCGGGAGGTGAGGAAACATGCCATGTCGAGGATCACACAACGCTCGAGCCCCACCACCGCGCTATCCCTTATTTCCTGCCCGCTACCTCCCTTCCTCTTCCCCCTCCCCTCCCCCTGGTTCTCTCTTTCCTCCTCCAACTCCTCCGCCTCCTATGCCACAGGCCAGCGCCCTCCCGCGCGCAAACCCAGTCAGCCAGCCCTGCCAGACCCGTCTGCCCCCCCTCCCCTCCTCACCCTCCCCTCACCCCCCGCCCAGCCCTGGTATGGCGAAGTGGATTGGCCGTGACCATTATCTTCCCCGATGCGTCGGCCCGGGAGGCCCTATACGTACGCGGGTCCCTCTGCAACATAACGCAACCCGTGTCGGCGCCTGGCTTGTCTGCGCCGGACGGGAGGGCGGGACATCCGCTGCGTCACACGCGCCGGAGCGACTCATCGCCCTCATCGCCGTCCTGGCCGGCCGCGACGGCGGCGGCCCTCCCGGAGGTCAGCGTACGTCACACTCTGGGGCGCCCAGGCTCCGGCCTGCTCCCGCTTCGGGCAACGCTTCGCGGAACGTTATGAGTCACTCATATATAGCGGGGTAGAGGCACGTGCGAAATAAAAGCGTTTGCATAAGTTTTGCAACTGGAGCAAAAGTGTGGCTAATGTAGTATTTATTTTAATTTTACTTAAACAGACTCACACCATTTGATAGTTTTGCTCACGATATAGCCCCGCAGTCGTCAGTGTTTTGAAGTCATACTTAAATGTGTCAATTGAGAACTGCTATCTCTAAAGTAAAGAACCCTCTCTGAGCAAGTTAGAAAGCAAGGGGATATCGTGTCGTTGTTTGCGAGTGTTGCTACCCAGCTACCCGGTTCTGACCGGATCCCGTGCTACTTAACTCCGATAATCATTCGTAGACGTCTTAAGGACGTGTTAAGTAGTCCCGTGAGCTTGCAAACTGTGCCTATTAATCAGCTGGTCCTGTCTGCAGGTCACCACTTGGCAATCACCACTTGCGCCTTATCGACAATGCTTTCCGTCATCCTTATTCTTAAATTTTGTCACTGTCTAACTCCCAAGTCACTGAGTTCTTGCATCAAGAACATTGTACATGATCCTTGGTTTTTCAAGTACATGATCCTGGATTTTTCAAGTACATGTCACTTGAATCAAGACATATACACTTGAAAAATCAATGGTCAAGGACAACGTACTTGGGGTCAAGTACAACGAACTTATGGTCCAAGAAATCAGTATTTTGAGTGAACAAATTTAATAGTCAATGTGTATGCGATTGGTTTTTAC